GATCATGACCGGTCACATTTATAATATGCAAATAGTATGAAGTCCAGACCATTAACATATTCATTTGGTACTTTAGTAGGGCCAAATTCAGGAATTTGAAAGCAATTATGAGTATCATCATCTGGGAGGAAGCATTTAATCAGAAAAATGTGCATGATAATTGGGCATCATTTAAGACCACCTTACTAGATGCCCAAAAAGCCACAAGCCAGCAATCGAGGAAGGATGCTGGATGGTTTAAAAAAAACAACCTGGTTTGGAAGGGAAGGGAAGGCAGCTGTAAAAACCAAGAAATTTACATATAACAAATGGAAGAAAGGAGAACTTGATATTAATGAATATAAATCAGAAGTTAGGAATTGTAGAAAATTGATAAAGGAAGTCAAGGGACACAAGGAGAAACCTTTGACCAGAAGAGTTTAGAACAATAAGGAATTTAAGTATATTGTGAACGAAAAGTTTTTTGAGGAGTGTCTCTGTGGGTGCTCCACTTCTGGTGTCTTGGCGCCCTGCGCTTTTAGTCAGTAACTTGTGGTAGCAGTGCCCAGTGCCCTGATTGGCCACGTGCACCAGCCATTTCACGTCGCTCCGAGTAGTTACCTTATGCACGCAGCCAACCGTTAACCAGTTCCTTCTCTACCACCTCTGGTTTCGGTCAGAACGAGAGCAATGCCCTTTGCAGCTCTCATATTCTTCTAATCTCTCCTACTTTCTCAGCTATTTCCCTCGTTATTGATTTCTCCTTTCATTTTTGTTCTGTTTACCATTAAATTTTGTTATTTCCTCCCTGACTCAGGTGGGCAGTCGCTGAAGAGGCATTAGACTGGGACTATTCCTATTCTTTATTCAGCTTAGCCTTGGAAAAGCCTGCCTCTCCAAGTTTCAAGTGCTGCCTGACCTGCAGACTTTCAGTACCAGTGACAGACGCCCACGCGCAGTATGTCCATTGCCAGAGGGGGAGACACATTACCCAAAAGTGTCCCCACTTCAAGAAACTCACAGTGAGGACAAGGAAGGCTAGGGACTTCCAACTAAAACTTTTAATGCTGGAGAGATCCCTCTGACCCTGAGTCCCCGACACCACCTTGCCAGTCCTCACCTGCAACTGCCTCAGATATAGGGGTCCTTGTCAAAAATGGCTGCTAAGGACCCTGGTTCTAAAAAAGCCCCCAAAAAGCACTCTCACTCTTCGTCACACTGTGATTCGCCTCCTAAAAAGCAATCTCCAACCACAAAAAGTGCCCGGGTACCGATGACACCGAGAGCGCTGGACTGCGAGGCTCCAGTACGGAGATGTCCAGGAAAGTGAAAGACCCGGTGCGGTCTTGCTCTCACAGCAGAAAAACTAAGCCTCCTAGCTTGGCACCAAGGGAACCTAAGAAGCCTCAGGCACAGAACAGAACTATGGTGTCGCCTGCTGCACTAATACAATACGGTAAGTCTACGGCACCAAGAACGCTCTCTCTGGTTCCCAGTCTAAGTTTGCTTCCGCCGCCAGTACTGAACCTCCGGGTACCACAACAGTTTGTCAAGCAGGCGGACCTCCTCATTACTTCCACCCTGGGAACTTTGCTTTTTGGCACCGACAGTACCTAAGCCAAGTCAGGGCCAAGCTTTATCACTACACCTGCTTTCTTGGCCCTTCCTCTTTCCAGTGATGAAGTGGAGACAGGAATGGGCACCCCTCTCCACTCCTCTCCCAAACCTGGACCCTTGCGGGCGCAGGTTGGCAACCTCCACAATGGGTGCCCCCTTCCGTGACCCTCCCATCGCAGTGGGCATACTGGGACCCCTGGGCATCATACAGAGCCCAGAACATCCAGCTCTCCAATTCACACAGGTCTAGGACACAGCGATCGCCTTCGCCATCTGCTTCAGCTTCCCCAGAACTGTTGGAGGATGAAGCAGAAGAATCTGCGGACAGACCAGAGCGTGACACCCTACCCACATCTCGTCTTCGCCTCTGGACGAAACAATAATACCGCCTCCCCCAACATCAGGAGATGACTTCAAATCCTTTCAGGATTTGTTTAAAAGAGTAGCTGATTCATTAGACATCTCACTGGCTGAGCTACCAGAGACTCAACATAAGCTGACAGATATATTGCAAGTTTCTCCGTCAGCCAAGATAGCAAGACCCATTAATGCTGCCATTATGGACCCAGGAAAAATCGTATGGCAGATGCCAGCCACGGCTCCACCTTCTTGTAAGAGATCTGACAAGTGGTACTATGTGCCAGCTAAAGGAGCTGAGTGTTTTTTTAATTTTTTTTTTTTAAATTTACTCACCCTATCCCAAACTCATTGGTTTTTAAACTCAAAGGAATTTAATCAAAGGGGGAAGCAACATCAGACCAAAACCACCCCCTGTGATAAAGACTGGAAACGCCTAGACCTCTTTGGCAGAAAAGCCTATTACCGGCGACCCTCCAGTTTCGCATAACAAACTATTCTGCGTTACTGGCCAAGTACACACCCAACGTTTTTTCTCAGATGTCATCTTTTATTGAGCACATCCCAACTGACAAAAAAGAACAATATAAGGCTGATATAGCTGAAGGTTTCCTCATCGCCAGAACGGCCCTGCAGGCTTCTCTGCATTCTGCTGACAAAGCAGCCCGCCCCATCACCCCGCCCGTTGTCGTCATGCGGAGGGCTTCATGGCTCCATCTCTCCAGCTTCCCCAGGGAAGTTCAGGCGACTGTAGAGGAGTTACCTTTTGCAGGGCAAAAATTGTTTGCAGAGAGCACGGATGTCTCTTACACACCCTGAAGGACTCCCGTGCGACACTAAAGGCACTCTGAATCTATGTCCCTGCGAACAAAAAGAAACGGCAGATTTTATAACCAATGATTCTGCCCTGCCCCATATGCCCAGCCTCAACGACATTATGACCAGCGCCACAAGTAGCCCCAGACGAGACGTCGTCGGACACAGGAGCAGTTGCTTATGTCTCAGCCACCCATTTCTAGGCAAACGTTTTGAAGTGTTGGTCGAGGACACGAGAACCCCACATTCTCCGATTCCAGAGTCCCCTCTAATTTCCAGCGGATATGGTGCCCGCCTTACACCCTTTTACCCAGTCTGGAGAACCATCACCTCAAACAAGTGGGTTCTGGAAATTATACAGAAGGGCTATTCTATCCCCTTTCTTTCTATTCCACCTACCCACCCCCTTCCCCGTCCCTCTTCAGGGACCCATCTTACGAGTATCTATTACAGCAGGAAACAAACCATTTCCTGCAGTTAGGTGCTCTGGAACCAGTACCAGTTCAGCACGGGGGTCAGGGGTTTTATTCACATTACTTTCTCATTCTAAAGAAAACAGGTGGATGGAGGCCCATTCTGGACTTGCGCAAACTGAACAAGTTAGTGAGAACACAGCGCTTCAAGATGGTAACCCTAGCAACCATAATTTTGGCATTGGAGAAAGGAGATTTGCTCTTGGCCCTCGACCTACAGGACACTTACTTCATGTCACTATCCACCTGGTGCACAGGAGATTCCTACGATTCACTCTGGGCAACCTATTGGATTACCAATACAAGGTACTTCTTTTTGGCCTCTCCATGGCTGCGAGGGTATTTTCCAAAGTACTAGCTGTTGCAGCAGCACACCTTTGCAAGCAGGGTGTGATCATATTCCCCAAGATAGACAACTGCCTGCTAAAAGCACAGAGACCAAAGCAGTCCACGCTACTCACACCACTTTAACCCTATTTACAAACCTTGGGTTACAAATCAACCTGCAGAAATCCACCCTGACCCCGTGGTGGAAAATTAACTACACGTTGTGTTTGAAATCAGAATTGCCTGAGGCTTTACTCAAGTATAAGTATACAGGGAGAGTCAGCCATAGCTGCTCTGCGTCAGCAGAAAATACAGGAGTTTATATAGCTGAAAACCACAATTTGTTGAGCATACTTCTTTTAACAGCATTTTCCCTTATTTGGCATATAATGCAAGTTGTAATAGTAGCTTTCCTTATTTGGGATATAGCAAAACAAGCTTTTCCTGTTATTGACAGGCTGTTCTTTGCAGTTAAGGGGTCTTTCCTAATTTTTAGCTGTTAGGGTTTCATTTCTTAAGCTGTGCTGTTGCACCTGCCCCACAATGGAATTTTCCTTAGCCCTTCTTATGCTTTTACACACACAGTTAGCTTGACCAAAGTTTTAGGCCTACTTGGGAAGTTTAGGCCTCCTGGATTTTTCCTCCACAACCCCAATCCAACAATTGGACTTTACAGGGGCACACGTCGACAGTAAGACACAGCCCACAAACGTCCGCCAGAACGCGCCTACAACTTCCCGGACACATGTTGGCTACTACATTTGTTGTAAAACATGCTAGGCTGCATATGAGATGCCTACAAATCTGGCTACGTACGATCTACATTCCTCACAGACACTCAATCAACAGATGGCTTACAATGCCTGGCAGAGTGAAAAACTTGCTCACATGGTGGACAAAACAAATGTCTGCTCAGGCGTTCCCTTCCAACAGGAAACGCCATCAGTCACTATAACCACAGATACCTCTCTGATAGGATGTGCGGCACGCTTGTCTGACAACGCCATCCAGGGCCTTTGGTCCCTAGAGGAGTCAAATATCCTGGAGCTCCAGGCTGTTGGAAATGTCTGCCATCACTTTCTCCCCCTGATCTGCAGCAAAACTGGCCAGATTGTCACGGAGAACTTGGCAACTATGTTTTATATAAATTGCCAAGGAGGGGCCCAATCTTACCTGCTCTGCACTGAAGCAGTTCACCTCTGGCAATGGAGCATCTCCAACAAAATATACATCACAGCATTCTACCTACCTGGAAGCCAGAATGCCCCAGCAGATGACCTCAGCAGGAACTTCTCACGGATGCAAGAGTGGGAACTGGACTGATGAATTCTGCAAACTGCATTCTGACAATGGGGATTCCCCTCAATAGATTTTTTTCGCCATGACCCACAATGCCAAATGCCCTCAGTACTGCTCCTGAGTGGGACTGGGACAGAACTCTCTGGGAGACGCCTTCCTAACGAAATGGGAGGTCCCACTCCTGTATGCCTTCCCTCCAATCCCCCTGTTGAGCAGTGTCCTACACAAAATCAGACAAGACAAATCCCAGAGTCATCTTGATTGCACCAACATGGCCCAGACAAACATGGTTCCCATATCTGGATCAGATGGCTGTCCGATCACCATGAACCCCTCCCCTCTTGCGTCATCTGCTGATGCAGGATGCCTCCATCACCCCCAACATTTTAACACTTTGTCTCAAGGCCTGGTTAATCCATGGCTGACAGAACTCGAAACATGCTGTTCGAAGAAGTTCAAGACATTCTGCTAAACAGCGGATGTCTCTTCACACACAAAACATATGCACACAAGTGGAAAAGATTCTCTATCTAATGCCAAGACAAGCAGATCACTCCAGAATCACTCCTACTATGCTTGATTACATACCGACACTAAAAAAGTGGCCTTTGGACTAGCTCACTCAGAGTGCACTTATCAGGCATCACCACTTTTCACGACAAGGTGGACGGACTCACTGTTTTCACCCATCCACTGACTAAGCGCTTTTTCAAGGGTATAGAGACCACTTGTCCCACATTAAGGGACCAGACCCCTATGTGGGTCCTCAGCCTTGTTCTCCGTGCCCTAATGGGCAAACCCTGTGAACCGCTAGTGATCTACTCATTCCTACACTTATTGCTGAAGGTCGCCTTTCTAGTAGCTATCCCATCAGCACGAAGAGAGGGAGAGTTGGGTGCCCCAGTGGCACACCCACCTTATACCACATTCCTCAAGGACAAAGTCATCCTACATGCACACCCTAAATTCATACCCAAGGTCGCCGCCTCCTTCCATCTCAACGAACCCATTTACTTACCTGTATTCTTTCCCAAGCCGTACGCCAATAACAGGGATGTGTCCCTTCATATGCTAGACGTCTGCAGAGCAGTGGCGTTCTATATAGAGAGAACAAAAATGTTCAGAAAATTGTCCAGGCTATTTGTATCCACAACAGAATGATCAAGAGGCCAAACCATTTCCAAACAGAGACTTTCAAAATGGATCTCTAATTGTATCCAAATATGTTACCAAAATTGCAATCTGCAAGTTCCTTCTGGACTTCGCACATACTCCGCTAGAGCTATGTCCACATCCATAGCCTTTCTCAAGCATGAACCTGTCACTGACATTTGTAAAGCAGCTACATGGGCATCGCCCCATACTTTCACCAAACGTTATGCCCTGGAACAGCAGTCAGCTGCAGATGCTCACTTTGGACTGTCGGTACTCTCCACCACACATACATCAACTCCGGAGCCCCTCTTCTCCACCGAGAGGCACTGCTCTTCAGTCACCTAAAGTGGAGCACCCGCAGAGACGCTCCTCGAAGATGGAGAAGGTTACTCAACTTGTTCAGTAACTGAGGCTCTTGGAGATGGTTGTCCCTGTGAGTGCTCCACTACCCATTCTCCTCACCTCTGCTTTGGAGTTTCAGCTCCATCCTCTGGGATAAAAAAGGAACTGGGTGGTGGTTGGCTGCACACGTGAGGTAACTGCTCGGAGTGGCGCGAGAGTGGCTGCTGCACGTGCGTAACCAGCCGGGGCACTGCTACCACAAGTCTCCTACTAGAAACGCAGGGTGCAAAGACACCTAAAGTGGAGCACTCACAAGGACAACCGTCTCGAAGAATATGTTACTGCACAAGGTGAATAACTGTCTTAATTTTGACAATAGTATTGGTTCGTTCCTGGATGGAAATGGTAGAATTATCAATAAATAACGCACAAAAGTCAGAAGTGTTAAATAAAGATTTCTGCTCTGCCTTTGTGGAAAAAACAGATGATGCAGTCTCATCATATAGTGGTTGTTAGGGGGCTTATTCCTTCACCCGCTTACTTCCCTGGTCCTTCTCGCATGAACAGAGAGCAACAATACCCGAAGTCCAAAGGTGCAAACAATTCGATGTTTATTGGGGTGAACTTCCAGCAAGCATGATTTCAGTTTTCTTCCTTAGTATCTTCCTTCCCAGCTCTGACACCACAGAGCCTTACACCTGTGTCCCTGTTCCCATTCCTGCCCTTAGCCAAACATTATTCCAATTTTCTTACCCCCATTCCCATTTCCCCTCTTTAGCAAAACATGATTCCAATTTCCGCACCCCCATTCCCTGTTCCCATCCCCCCACCCACACCCATTCACTTCCTCATTGACTACAGATTATATAGTAAAACTTGAGTTCTGCTTAGCTATACCTTAACCAATCATTTTCCTGAAATTTAACTAACCAATCCTAACGTATTGTAACATGATTACGTAACCAATTATATCCCACCACCTTAATTAGTTTACACCCAGCAAAATTAATTATACAGCAGACAGGAACAATCACACAACCAGACAGATTATACAGACAAACAATAGCAAAGTGGGAACTATAATGACAAAACAATACAGAAGTGAGGATTTCACATCCCAGTTATTGAAAAGTGAGTTCTTGCCAGACAGGATGCTATCAAACTAAGTTTCCTTTTACATTTTCTAGGCACTTCCCTTTCTCTAGAGGTGATAGGAATACAATCCTGTCCTGATAGTGCCTAACAGCCCATGTTCTCTGTGTATATATAATGTCTTCTGCAGTTTCCACAGTATGCATCCGATGAAGTGAGCTGTAGCTCACGAAAGCTCATGCTCAAATAAATTGGTTAGTCTCTAAGGTGCCACAAGTACTCCTTTTCTTTTTGCGAATACAGACTCACACGGCTGTTACTCTGAAACCTAACAGCCCAATAGCACCTTATTTCAATGTGACTAGTTTGGGATGTGAGGAGGTGACCGGTCGCTTCCTAGCTTATGGCTGCCTCTGTTGCTTAGCCAAAGGCCTTAGCCTAAGAACAGGGCCTCAGACTGTCACAGTAAGAGAAGGCCCTTACACCAGCAGACAGTGATTTTGATTCTTCTTTTATACCTCTAGAACTAGCCAAGTGATAAGAATACCCCTAAATTCTTAAAGTACAGGCCTTTGCAGACAGGCCTGAATATCTATATCCTAACAGTGGTAATAACATATTTCCATTCCACTTCTAATTATTAAAGTTAGACATTTTAAAATCAGCAGGTCTAGGTAACTTGTATCCAGGAGTTTTAAAAGAGCTCACTGAGGTGCCTGCTGGACCACTAATGTAGATTTTCAGTTTGTCTTGGAACACTGGGCAAGTTCCAGAAGACAGGACGAAAGCTAATGTTGTGCCAGCTTTCAAAAAGGGTGAACAGGATGACCTGGGTAGTTATAGGTCTTGTCAGCCTGACATTGATCCTGGGCAAGATAATGGACTATCTGAATTGGGACTCAATTAATAAAAAATTAAAGGAGGGTAATTAATGAAAATCAACATGTGCTTATGGGAAATAGATCCTAACTAACTTGATATATTTTTTTTTTTGGTGAGATGACAAGTTTGGTTGATAAAACTAATAGTATTAAAGTAATATACTTAAACTTCTGAAAGGCATTTGACTTGGTTCCTCACGACATTTGGATTAAAAAAGTAGAACAATATAAGATTAACATGTGTGACAAAGTTTCTCCTATACTTTGGTGGGTCTTGCGTTTATTGGCAGATTTGCTCGCCTTGGAGCTTCATGGTCGCCCTTAGTTTGGCCGTTTTTGTGAACCCACAGTCCAGGTCAACTTCTCCTGTGTCTGACCAGGAGTTGGGAGGATTTGGGGGGGAACTCGGGCCCGCCCTCTAACCCTGTGGAATGCAGCTGTTTAGAGTGCCTCCCGAAACAGCTGTGCGACAGCTACAACTCCCTGGGCTACTTCCCCATGGCCTCCTCCCAACACCTTCTTTATCCTCACCATAGGACCTTCCGCCTGGTGTCTGATGATGATTGTACTCCTCAGTCCTCCAACAGTATGCGTTCTCACTCTCAGCTCCTAGCGCCTCCTTCTCCTGGCTCCTTACATGCGCACCACAAACTGAAGTCAGCTCCTTTTTAAACCCAGGTGCCTTGATTAGCCTGCCTTAATGGATTCTAACAGCTTTTTGATTGGCTGCAGGTGTTCTAATCAGCCTGTCTTAATTGTCTCCAGAAGGTTCCTGATTGTTCTGGAACCTTCCCTGTTGGGAAAGGGGACGTCCCTTGCTTGCTCCTCAGCTATCTGCTTTCTATTCTTTCCTAAAGCCCCCTGGCCTGGATTTTTCTTACTTTTCGACCCTGCCTTAGTCGTGTCGTCCCTTCACCCCCCCCTCCCCCCCCGCGACCGGGCCAGACACTTTTTTTGTTTTGTTTTGTTTTTTTTGCCGTTTTTTTTTGCTGCCGTTGAGTGCTGGTCGGCTGCCAGCTTGCCGCCAGAACCCCCCCTCCCACGCCTGCTCTCGGGCGCAGCTATTTGCCTCAGCTGAAACCCCCGGAGGAGGGGGGGAAGATTGCCGACCCGCTATCCGGAGGGGAGAGTGGAAGCCCCCAGACCCAGCCATTTTGCTGTCAGCTTATCTCTGCAACATTCTCGGCCTGCCGGAAGCCTTGGAACACAGCCAACACAGCTGGAGAAGAAAACAGAAGACAGACAAATCACCCAGGGAAGCTACAATCATCGTGGAGGGGGCCGTAAGACTGAGTAACTTTTTGAATTATACTCTCGTGGGGGGGGAGTTTGACTGTGGTTTAATTGTGTTTGTGGCGGCACAGGGGGTGTGGCACGGAGCTGCCCCCTGATCCATCGGTGCCCCCCCAACATTATTACAACTGTCACGGCCCCCCGCCGTCCGTCCCTGCTGGCAACCTGCCATCTGCCTTCGGATCCAGCTGTTTGCTTTGAACTTTGCCTTTCGGACCGGACATATCAGCCGACCAAACGAGACTCTTTGGACAAACGTGCGTGGGTCCACAACCCCCCCCCCCGGACTGTTCACCCCACAGCTTGCCCCTATACCGGACCCCGATTTCTGTTTTTTCCCCCCTTCCCGTCCCACCCATTTGGTACCCCCCCCCCCCGCCTGCAGCCCAGCAGGGAGGAGCGGTTAATCTGCTTCCCCCTCCCCCCTCCTCCTTCTGGTGTCTCCCCGTCTCTCCCTGCTCACAATGGCAGGGAATGAGAGGGGTGAGGCCCCTCTAATAATATCAGTTGTCCCTCCCCCCACCTGCCCCCCTGCCCAACCCCCAACCCCCCCCACCACTGTCAAAACACCTGGCACCGGCAGCAGGAGGCACCGGGGCGACTACTGCCGCTGCTACGTCCACCGCCCCCCTAGATTCTAGGAACCCCCCCCAGTTGGCCGGAAAGGCCAGGGTGGGAAGAAAGGAAAGGGCCCCACTAAAACCACTAAGCCCTCCATGGCAGGGGCTGCCCCCACCACTGTGACCTCGTTACTGACCATGGCGTCCCTCCCTGCTGTTCCCCCCACCAGCTCTGCGAACGTCCCTCCCCCGGCCCCCAGGGCGTATGCCCAGGCGGTGGCAGGCTCCCCCATGCCTGCCGCCTCGTCATCTCGCCCACCCACTGCCTCCGCTACCATCACCAGCTGCCGGGGCCCCTTCCCCACCTTGACCAGGAGGCACGGTGTCCGTTGCCTCCTGGTGCCCGTCTCGCCCCACGTGGAGACATACGTGCAGGCGTTGGCGAAGGTGGTAGGACCCACAGCTATTGTGGCGGCCTCCAAAATGTATGGGAAGGTCGTTCTTTTCTTAGCTTCGGAGGCTGCTGCCCAGGAGGCGGTGGAGAGGGGCCTGGCGGTGGGGGGGGTGTTTGTCCCTGGGCATTCGCCTCGTCCTCACCTCCGTTCCTCCCTTTTTACCCAAGGCTGCTCTGTTACCTGCTCTCTTCACCCTGGGGAAACTTGTCTCTGTCATCAGCCCTTTCCCGTTGGGCTGCAAGGACCCCACCCTCCGTCACGTCCTTTCGTTCCGCCGGCAAGTGCAGCTTCTACCGCCGGCGGCGGCGCGTGACGGAGAGGCGCTCGAGGGGTCCTTCCTAGTCCCTTACCAAGGAGCCCTCTATCGGGTCTTTTATTCCACCGGAGAGGCCCGGTGCTACCTCAGATCAGCAGGGCATGTCTGCAGAGACTGCCCTTTAGCCCAGGGGGGAGGGGCACCCGAGACCCGCCAGGACATCGGCCCCGTCGTTGCCAACGCCCCTGGCCACCCAGCACCTGAACCCAACCCTCCTCCTACTCGACCCGCCGCTGCTCCCGTCTGGGCCCAAGAAACACCTTCCCTACAACGCCCAGGCGAGCAAGGGAGTCCCACCCTTGCTATTACCAATCTGGCAGAGGCTATGGAGGAGGGTGTGGCCAAGATATTACCGGGTATAGGAGAGGGCCCGCCCCAAGGAGAACCCCCCGCCCCTCATGCTCCCTCACCGTTACCCCCCCGACACGACCCCTGCTAACCAACCCCCAGATGATGCTATGGAGGGCTGGACCCTAGTCTAGGGGAAGCAAGGCAAGCGGAAGGCTCAAGCTCCGCTGCAGCCATCTGATGCGGAAGCCCCCCGGAAGACCAGGAAGGGAGGCACTGATATTGAGCCTTCCACTACGGCCACAAGTGAGATCCATCTGCTGGTGTCGGGAGGGGAAGACAGACTGACATTGGAGGGCAGAATCCCTCCTCCACGAGAGATCCTCCCCTCCGAGACCCCTGAGGACGTTCCTTCTGCCCGGATACCACCCGAACCCCCCGCGAACCCCGAGGCGACCGTTGAGGCGGGCCCTCGAGGAGAGGCCCCCGGGGTAGCAGGAGTTGGCCTCTCCTCCGTGTATGCGGAGATTGAGGCCCTAGATTTGACCCCAGTCACCCAGGGAGAGGATGATCTACTGCCGGCTGGCCTTGATCTGGGCAACCTCACCCCAGCCCCCCTTTCCCCATTCTCCCTCCCCCTAATTGCCTTCCCGGGTGAGCGCCCCGCAGAAGGTGGTCCACCACCTGATGCCATGGCCGCCAAGACCACCACGGAGCCAGCACCTAGCATCACTGGGAGCCCCCTCCCTTATCCCTTAACCCTCGACTCTGCTCAGCAGGCACCTTCTTTTAGCTGCTCGCCTCCTGAAGCCCAGAGCCTTACCTCTGCCCCTGCCCCCACCCCTGTCCCTGCCCAATTCACCTCCTCCTGCAATGCTATTGCTGCCCCTGGGGTTATTTCTTTCCCGTCTTCCGCAGATTCCCCCCAGGGAGCAGTCTTTGCACTTTCTAGTTGTGACCCATTAGGAGTTGCAATTTTTCACCCGCCATCCCTCTCCACCCCAATGCGTGAAATGGATTTAATAACCCCAGCCTGTCAGACGCCCCGTCGGTGGTCCGCACCCTGCCTACCCGCCTTAGCGGACCACGAGGCTGCATTAAGAGCCCCACCAGGGAACACCCTGGAAATCGTAACCCCCCCCCCCCCCATGAGCTGCGGCATGCACTACGGAAGTTCCTAGAACACACCCGGGGCGCCCGGAATAGGGTACAGCTAGCTCTTCAGCTATGGGGGGACTTTGATCAAATTCTTCAGGCCACAAGGGCCCTTAAAAAGGAGGGCAGGGGGCAAGGAAAGCGCGGTGCTGCGGCCTACAAGCGGGCCTGCGGCTTCCGAAAAGATTTACCCATCCATGGGATGGGTCATGGGTTGCTGCGCAACCCGCCGGGGGCCACGAACACCCCCACCAATAAGAACCCCCCAGCCCTCCGCATGATGCCTCTCATTATTGCAACCTTGAACACCAGGGGCTGTAGGATGGCTCTCCGCAGGTCCCAGGTGCTCTCTTACCTTCGGGAAGGGGGGGTACTCTGTAGCTTTCCTACAGGAGACCCATACGGACCCACCCGTCGAGGCCAGGTGGCGGCTGGAGTGGGGGGACGGGGTATACTTTAGCCACTTCACGACTTGGCAAGCTGGAGTGGCGACCCTGTTCTCCCCCACCCTACGGCCCAAGGTGCTAGGGGTCACTGAGACCGTGCCGGGCCACCTGCTGCACCTTCGAGTCCGTATGGAGGGGCTCGTGGTCAACCTTGTTAACATTTATGCCCCGCAAACGAGCCCAAAGTGGCCACAATTCTATCAGCGGGTGTCCGACCTCCTCGGCACCCTAGATTCACACGAGTGCCTGGTCCTGGGAGGGGACTTTAACACCACCCTCGAGGAATGGGACTGCTCAGGGGCCGAGCTGAGCCCAGCCGCCGCGAACATTCTTCAAGGAATAGTCGAACATCATTCCCTAGTGGACGTCTGGCGTGACCATCACCCAGACGATACTTCCACGTTCACCTTTGTCCGGGTGGAGGCCCATCGGTCACACCACTCTCGGTTGGACCGTATTTACTTATCCCGTTTCCATCTTTCACAGGCCCACTCCTCCACCATTCGGCCGGCCCCATTCTCCGACCATCATTTAGCCACCATAACGGTCTCCCTCCATGCAGAGAGACCGGGGCCAGCCTATTGGCACTTTAACAACAGCCTGTTGGAGGACGAGAGCTTTGTGACGTCCTTCCGGGAGTTTTGGCTGGCCTGGCAAGAGCAGTGGCGTGCCTTTCCCTCGGTGCGGCGATGGTGGGATCTAGGGAAGGTGCGCGCCAAGCTCTTTTGCCATGACTACACTCGGGGCACCAGCCGACGGCGAAATGCGGCGATAGAGCAGTTGGAACGGGAGGTCTTAGAGATGGAGAGGCGCCTGGCCGCCAACCCCGAGGACCCGTCCCTCTGCGGAGCGTGCCGGGAGAAGCGGGAGGAGCTCCGAGCCCTCGAGGACCACCGAGCCCGAGGTGCCTTCGTTCGGTCCCGCATCCGCCTCCTTCGGGAGATGGACCGCGGCTCCCACTTCTTCTATGCCCTGGAGAAAACGAGGGGGGCCAAGAAACACGTCACCTGCCTTCTTGCGGAAGATGGCACCCCCCTCACGGATCCGGAGGAGATGAGTGGGAGGGCCCGTGACTTCTACACAAGCCTTTTCTCCCCGGACCCAACCGATCCTGGCGCTTGTGGGGTGCTCTGGGAGGAACTCGCCACGGTCA